GATTTAAAATTAGACACAGCAGGTAGAACAGCTAAACCTCAAAGACAAGTTGTTAAGGTTTGAATCTGGAACTTTCCCCAGAGACTTGTGTTCAGAGGTGGAGCTTTGAAAGGCCCAGTGACAGCTGACCTGCTAGTGGAAGTTCAAGTCTCACAGGAAGGGTGCATCTTCCCCCTGCTCCTCCCCTCACTCTCCCTGACCCGGCCAGAGGATGTGAGTAGCACTCCACACCCCCCTTCTGCCATTCCCTTTATGCTTGGAGCTGGTTGACTATGGACTAAACCCTCTAAAACCATTAGGCAAAATAACCCTCTCCTAAGCTGAGGCCGTTGGCTATTGTGTGTGGCAAAGTGTCTAAAACATGAGTAAACCTTACAAATATGCAGAAACTTTTATAAAACATTTCCTAGGATGGAAAGATAATGGATTGTATGGCCATGGGGTTCCTTTTTTAGTGGCTAAAATAACTCACCCATTCACCAAATACTGTTTTCCAAATATTAAATTCTTACTACATGCTTCTTAGAGGAATAAGAGCAGTAAACAAACTGGATGAAATCTCTGCTGCAGAACTTATACCCTCATGAGTAAACAAAACACCCTGGAGAGCAGAGAACCCTACTAAAACAATTCCTGCCTGGGGGAACTTTTTTTCATATTATTTAAATGATACATTCATTTTCCTTTATATGACGCTGCACCACGCGAGTAATAAAGGCTTGTATTTTTTCCAAAATAAGTAGGCAGTCCATAGGGATTATAGCAACTCAACTCGATGTTAATTTCAGAATCCTGGCTTCTTCTTCCCTAAGAATATACCTTTACTTACTCTGTATCTCTCCCTCCACCACCACGTCTCTCTCATACTGTGGGGGCGGATCCCAAAAATTAACAATGTATAGGCATTACAGGTGACCTTCATACAGGCAAGTTTATAACCCACTAAAAAAATCCAGATTTAAAGAAGTGAGGGAAAATAACTATATTAGTTACTCTTCTCTTGTTGCTGGGACAAATACCTGACACTCAAAATGAGGGAAGGAAAGGTTTATTTAGCTCACAGTTACTGGAGGTTTCAAGACACTGGAGGAGAGGCTGGGGCGCTGCCCTGTCCAGGATGACCCTCTCCACTTCTCTGAGAAAGCACAGGCTAGCCAGTTGAATGGGTCTGCCTCTCTGGCCCCGCCCCTCAGGCCCTGCCCTGGCCCTCGGCCCCGCCCCTCTGGCCCTCTGGCCCCGCCCCTGGGCCCCGCCTCTCTGGCCCTCTGGCCCCGCCCCCTCGGGCCAGGAGCTCCCCTTCAGCGTGACTGCCCCCTGATTTATATGAGGCTTTGGGGGCACAACTAGACACAAACCATAACAGTAATTGTCTCCTAAAATATTCTTAACGGAATAAAATAACTTCGAAGACTGAGACTATACAACCAATAACTACAAAGAATAGATAAACAGCTCCATGAGGAAACTCAAGACGGCTCACATTTGAAGAAAACCTTACTAGCAACGTATTTTCCCATCTACAGAAATTATCAGTGTGGAAGTGATGGCCCACGGTGAACCCACAGACACCGTGGAAAAACCGAACACAGCCCCAGGTCTTTCCGACAGGGCAACACCTCATCTTGTTGCACGCCTTGTTCTAGGACTTCTCCAACCATCCTCTCATGGAAATTTGCACTTACAGTCACCATTAATCTTTCAAACGTTTCGGAAGATATTTTATGCTTTCTAATTATTTCCATTCCTGTCCAGCGGCATCTGAGGAACATAGGTGATTCACCGCCCTGGTGCTGACGACACAGGCGAGCTGGGCAAAACTGCAAAATAAATTTCGGCCTCTATATGCTCATCTCCATTTTATCTTGAGGAAATATAGGCTGCAAGAGAAAAGATAAAATCCTAGGACACTGTCATAAAGCCAGATTAAAAAATAATTAACAGCATTTTGTACCTTTGATCATTCTGTTTCCTCCACAGGAATTCAAAGTGAATTGCTTCTGTGTGCTTCTACACCTTCCACTGGTCCTGCCAAGGACACGGACGTTAGTACACGTAAATGATGGGGTGTGGCACCCTCGTGCGTTTCCCTTTCTCTCTTATCACTAAGTGCGTCCTCCTCAATTGCTGTCAGAGGAATTCTTGGGAGGCTTCGGATCTCCAAAGCCGCCCCTCCGTGCCCGGCGGAGGGATTCCCGACCACAGGGCTCAGACCTGAGGCACAGGGCTGATTCCAAGTCTGAGCTCTGGCCAGGACTCGGAGGCCACGGGCGGCGTCTCTCCGAGACTGGCAATGTCGGGCTTTAGACCTCAGGACGTCGATCGTGCCGCGCCTACTCCCAGCAGGACGGAAACACCCCAGAGTCTACTACACGCATGCGGTTGTGTGTTTTCTTCAGGAAAGTGGTTAGGCTGGTTTTACACTCTCCAACCCCACAAGATTCGTCCTCGCGAGCATCTGCGTGGGCTGCAGCTCAGCACCCAACGAAGGGTCTGAATCCGCCCTTCGGGGCTGTTAGAACCCAATCAGGAGCTGGGCAGCCCGGGCCCCGCCCCCCCGCCCCGGACCTGCGGTGTCACGTGACCCACGGGCGCCCTCACCTGTGCGCAGCTGCACCGGGTGGTCTCCGCGGGCCCCGCCCCGTCGGCATCACATGACCTGGCGGCGCGGCCAATCAGCGCAGCGCTCCGAGGCATTCAAATCAGTCGCGGGCCGACTGTTGTGCGCAGAGTCGCCGGCGCCGGGCTTGCGTCCTCGGTGGTCTCTCAGCCGCCATGGACGCTGCCGCGCGCTGACAGTGCATGGAGAGTCGCGGAGGGGCTCCCGGGCCCTACCGGGCCACCAAGCTGGTAAGGGCGCGGAAGGACTGGGGTGACCGAGGTCTCCGCCCCTACTGCACCGCTCGGGCTGAGGGGTGGCCCGGGCAGCGGGGCCGCGGGGCAGGAGGTTGAGGACCTCTGCGGCCTTGGGGACCGACGGCTGTGCCCCGGTGTGGGGTCCCCGACCGTCACCAGCGCGCCCACCGCAGCTGCTTCCGTCCCTGGCTTTCCGCAGGCTGAGAGAGCGGTAGGGACGGGTTCCAGAGCGTGGTGGGTCAGACTGGGCCGAGCCCAGTAGGGGTTCGTCACTTTCTTTTATTGGGCAGCAGGCAGGGTTGACCCCGGCGACCGCGATGGGGCTGTGATCCGTGTGTGCCCGTGCAGTGTTTCCCGCGACGTCAGCCCTCCACAACAAGAAGCTGCTGGCTGTGTGACGTTAGATTCCCTAAACATCCGGCGAGACTTGGTCTCCCCTTCGGTAAAGCAGTAGGAGCTCAGCCTGACGGGTGTCCCGGGAGGACACTGCGCGTGACAGCGTGCTGGCCAACGTCTGTCCAGTACAAGCAAGGGACCCTCAGGAATGCCCCTCCACCGTGAGCTGGTGTGGCTGAGGAAACGGAGGCTCACATAAGCTAGGTGACCCTCCCAGAGTCACATAAGCAATAAGTGACTGAGCTAGAAGCAGCCACGTCTTTCTGGTATGGTCGCGCAGTCACTTCTCAGTGCGATATGGATTCTATTTGTGACTGAAAGGAAACTTAGTATGCTAATCGTATCAATTTATTAAAAATCCATTGCAGTAAAGTAGTATGAGCACACTGAACAAGAAAGTATTATCCGTTAGTACTTTACACAGTTTAAATCATTTTATCATTACAAGCCAGTTGGGGAGGTGCCCTTGTCCCCATGTTATGGATCAGGAGACTGAGGAACAGAGAAGGCACAGAAGTTTATTAACAGTAAGTGCTAAGGCCACAGCGGGGAAACTAGCCATAGCTGCCTAACTCGGGCCTGCTCCTAAAGCTACTGAGGTAGCTGCACTTCAGTAAAGCTCAGGTGGAATCTCTGTAAGTGCAGGGAGCCCCCTACACCCCCCCCCTTTACTACTGTGCAGCCAGGCCAGTACATGGTGGTCACCTCCAAGGAATTTTTAAAATAAACACAAACTAGGGAGTTGGAAAGCAGAGCATACTTTCTCAACCCTTAAATTCTGTGCTATGATGCCGGGACCACATAGTTTAGGTCAGTGGTAACAGCTGTCACACTAATGGTGTTTCAGATTAAATTTATTAAAATCTATAGGATTTTTCTGTTAAAAAGTGACATTGATTGTGTACCACTACTGCTTTTTATGCTCAACTGTTAAGAGCTCTGACAAATCTAGGAACATGGGTAACTCAAGGACAGTTTTTAAAATGTCAGTATTTTTTTAAAAAGATAGAAGAACCGGCCAGATAGCTCAGTAGACTAAAGTGCCTGCTTTGGCAGAGCGCCACGGCTGCGATTCGATCCCCTGCATGCTGTGCCAGCCCCACCCCCAAGGTGTGCTGAAACGAAATTGAGACTGGGCATGGTGGCGCATGCCTGTAATCCCAACACTTGGGAGGCTGAAAACAGAATCGCTACGAGTCTGATCTACATAGTGAGACCCTGTAGACCCTGTACTAAATTAAAAATACTACTAATAATAAGATGGGTATGTTTCAGGATCATTAAATAGGGGATGCATTTATATTTGACTTACCTTATCTATTTGTTCTCTGTTCACTATAGGAATCTTAAAGGAGACTGTGAAAGGCAGTCATTAGAGAGGTTTTACTCTGGTAGGGACTGCCTGTCAGAAGCTTCATTTGACCAGCACAGTAAATACTACAGGTTCTAGAGTCCATCACCCCTAGATTTGAGCGTGTGGTTCATTATTTAGCGTGTGACCTTGGTCTAAGTAATGCCTCTGTGCTTTGGTTTCCTTTTACGTAAATGAGGCAATCATAGTAACTCATAGAACTGTGGGACCTGAGGTGAAAGAGTGAGCATAAAGCATGTGGCTTGGCACAAGAGCTACCAGCACATTACTGATGTTACTAGAAGTAAAAGGCAGAAATAAATGCTTTCTCTGGTGAGGATTCAGACAGGGCCACTGCATTCCTCTTCCTTCTTCCTAGGTGTCCTATATAATTAGCCCAGTCAATTCTTGCCTATGAAAAATCTGTTGCTTAAAAAATAGTACTACAGGGGGCCGGAGAGATGGCTCAGTGAATAAGCGCTTCCCTGGCAAGCGCAAGGACCTGAGGTCAATCCTCGGTTCCCCCCCCCAAAAAAAAAAAAATAGTATTATAGCAGCAGAAGTAGTAAAATAAAATCTGTGAGATGCCAGCTCTATGTGGCACAAATGAGATGATTTAGAATGTTTACAATGTAAAAAATTTTACAGTGTAATCAGATATGAATTAAATTGTTTTGCTTGTATCAGTAAGGTTTCATTTTTGTTTACTTTTAACATTTTTTGTTTCTTTTGCAGTGGAATGAAGTGACCACATCCTTCCGAGCGGGAATGCCCCTGAGGAAACACAGGCAACACTTTAAAAAATATGGTAACTGCTTCACAGCAGGAGAAGCCGTGGATTGGCTTTATGACCTATTAAGAAATAATAGCAATTTTGGTCCTGAAGTTACAAGGCAACAGACTGTTCAACTACTGAGAAAATTTCTTAAAAATCATGTTATTGAAGATATCAAGGGCAGATGGGGATCAGAAAATCTTGATGACAATAATCAGCTATTCAGGTACTGGATGGATGTGTAGCTATGCGATGAAATGACTATGAAGTTTTATTTTCACTTTTACTACAATAGCCACTTCTTCAGTAGAAGTATGTTTCCTTTAAAAGGCATTAGTACCTATTATTAATTCAATTAACCCATTTAGGAAAATTATGAGGTGAAAGTTGCCATAAAATTCAAATTACTTAACTAATAGTATACAAAGAAGTAGAAATCAGAAGAAAAACTGAAATATTATCACTTTTTTTTTTGCAAAACCAAGGATTGAACTCAGGCCCTTGTGCTTGCCAGGGAAGCACTTATTCCACTGAGCCATCTCCCTGGCCCCAAAATTATCACTTTTGAATACTGTGAAAAGTTTATAACATTTCGAGGACATATCATTACTAATCTCTAGTTCCATAGGTGGTATAATTATAAGATAGGTCCTGCCCTAAAATACTGTGTAACCTAATATAATCTAAAAAATGCATGTGGTAAGAAAATAGCAAACTTTAACAGATAACAGAAGAAATAAAACATAGATGGAGGAGAATACTTCTGAAGCGGTTGCCTCACACCAGAAACTGATCTATGATGTACGCACTCTCTAGCCCCAGAACAGCCTCATGGGTACTGCAGCACACCCTTTGCGCAGGACAGAGAGCTGAGACCATGCATTGGCGCATGCACCTTTTTGAAATGCTCTCCCACATCGGAGCACTGTACACATTTTTCAGATCCTGTAACATACCTGTGCAGTTTGCGTCTTCCATAGATGCATCAGATCCCTCGGCTAGTATAACTGCCTTTCTTTCCCACACCCACGTTCTTCATTATATGCCATTAAAGTAGGATTTTTGAATTCTAATGTCCATTTTTTTCACTACTTTTCGAACAGAATATCCTAAAAATTGATTCTTTCCTGATGTGTTAGTCCATCTGCTGCTGCTATGACAGAACACCAGACTGAGTAATTCCTTAAAAAAAGTTCATTTGGGCTTTTGGTTCTGGAGGCCAGGAAGGGCAGAACTGGACTAGACTTTCTGACAGGGACCTAAGGGCCATCCTGCTTACCAGAGCAGTGCGGTGCATGCAGAAGGCAAGCCTGAAGGGCACTCACATTTGGTGGTAATGAATGCAGTCCTGCTGGGGCTAGAACCGCCAAGTTGCGGGCAGTAACCCTTCTAACATATGCCACCTTGCAGGGTCCCACCACCTCTACCACATTCCTTAGGAATGAAATTGCAACATCAGTTTCAGAAGAGACAGACCATAGGACCTACAAATCAAGCATTTATGTACTGCATGTAAATTGTAATAGCGCACATGAGTAGTCTGTGTGCAGGCTGTATAGTATTTTATAAGTCTTTCCTATGTCTCAGGCACTCTGGGGGCTGCCTTGTTACTCATCTCTAGGCTTTTGTCTTCATTCTCACTTGACCATGTGCCCTGGGAAATCTACCATGCCTACCTGCTCTTCCTGTGTCAGACCTCCAGCCCAAATTTCTCCTGAGTTTCAGACCCATTTTTTTCACCTGTCTTTTGGACGTAAAATGTGACATATGGAAAATCACTATCACTCCCTACCCCGTTTGTCTGTGCGTTCCCTAGCTGAATGCCTGGTGTCTTAGTTATTTTTCTCATTGCTGAGCCAAAACACCTGGTGCCCAAAGTTAAGAGAGGAAAGGTTTATTTAACTCACAGATTGCAGAGGTTTCAGTCTCTAGTCGGCCGGCTCCAGCTCAGAGTGGCATGGCACAGGGGCATCATGGAGGAAAAGCAGCAGAACCGCAGCTCTTTCTAACCCTTATGTATTATCAAGGCTACTTAGGGCAGGTAGTATTCACCCTTATAATCCTAATGCCCTGATCCTAGCGCTGCACCATGAGTGAAGCGCAGCATCACTGTGGATCCAGCCACCACTAAAAAAGCCCCACCTATGACTATGTGAGCCTTTGGGGGTCATCTAGACACCTGCTGTAACAAATATGACCCTTCCCTCTAGTTATTTTTGTTCTTTCCCTTTTAAATATGATTATAAAACTTGTCTGTAATACAACCCAAGTATTTCTGACTGAACACTTTTCTCTACAATGTGAATAATTTATGAAGTTATTACTTTTACATGAATTTCTGTGTAACTCCTCAGTTAGTCTTTCAGTCTTTTATAATGATAGGAAGACTGAAGAACCTGCAGGTAGAGCTCCAAGAATTTGTATGGGATCTTGTTGGAGAAAATCCTAGAGCGTTACTGAAGAGAATAAGTGAAACGAGATCATCTGCTTATAAATAATTTTGTTTTGCATATATGTCTATTCTTTCTAAATTGATACAAAACTCCAGGGCCATTTTATTCAGAGCTCCAGTATAGATTTTATAGAATTTGTCAGGACGGTTTTGGAGGACAGGTAGCATTGCCTTACCTGATAACTGGATTTAAGTTAGCTCAAAGTAATTAAAGTGCTGGGAAACCAAGCCCTCATATGTGAGAACATGGTGTAAATGTGAAAAGTGGAACTCTAGAAGAGGATGAATACAAGAAAATACTTGTTAGACAGTAAAGAGAGTCTCGTGTCATTGAAAGCTTACATATAGGGCCAGTGGTTGAGCTCAGGGGTACCAAGTGGTTGAGCTCAGGGGCATGGCACCTGCCCACCAAGTGCTTGAGCTCAGGGGCGTGGCACCTGCCCACCAAGTGCTTGAGCTCAGGGGCGTGGCA